GGGGGCGGGGGCCCCCCCCCGCGGCGGGGGGGGGGGGGGGGGGGAAGCTGGGTGGCTGCAGAGTGAGGGGCCCTGACAGACTGGAACAGGCAGCCGGCTTGGTTCCCTCCAGGGCAGTTTGGGTCACAGCCAACACTGACCTTGGAGGTTCCAGCTCAATCCCAGCTGTGAGCGCCAGGAGCTGCCCTCACTGGCACCTAATGTGACCCATCTGGCCCCACTTAGGTGCCCGGCCTCATCCGGCCAGAGGCTGCTCTGTGCGGTGCTGCTTGCCTGCAGCCTCCAGGGCCTGGTGTGGGGGTGCTGGGTCCAGAGGCAGGTGACAGCTGCCTCCCTGGCAGTGCTGCCCAGTCCCTGCCACGTCTCTCCAGGGCCAGTGCCCTGACAGGAGGGGTTTGCCCCCAGGCTGGGGCGGGGCTGTGAGCTGGCGAAGCCATGAGCCCCGGGAAGCTTCCGGCTTCAAGGTCAGCAGTGAAGCTCTGAAGGCGGGAAGTGAAACTGTGCAGGTACAGCTAGCACAGGCCTGAGCATCCGGCATAGTGCCTGTTGCGGGGGCTGCCACAGGCTGGTCCCCCTGGGTGCAGCATTGCTGCCACAGGATGATGCTGAACTAACCCATGCATATAATGTGTGGGCATCATCTAGCTGGCCAGCTCAGTAATTTTTCCCTTGTAGTTGAAAGCAAGTATGCCGGTGGCAATCCGGTGTGCGTGAGGCCCATCCCAACCTGGCAGAAAGGGATTGGAGAGTTCTTCAGGCAGTCGCCAGGCTCTTCAAGGAAAGAGAACCAGGTACTGGATGACGAAGAGGCAGGAAGCAGCGGAAAAGGACGATCGTCTAAGAAGTAAGCACAGGTTCCTGCATCCTTAGGTTGTGGAGAAGACCATGAACAGATGATATCTATTTTTTGTGTTTATTCTCTGCTAGTTACTCCAGCATCGAAGGTGTGAGTGTACAAGGCTTGACTCCCAACCCTATGTGCTCTGAAATCAGTGCACAGTGTGAATGTGACCTGAAATTTGCAAAAAGCTTTTAAGGTGCTGACTAGGTGGTGGTCATAGAAACAGACAAAACTTTTCTGTTCTTCCGGGGCTACCTGCTCTGTCCAGTGCTTCCCTGACTTTGTACCTAATCTCTTCTGGAAAGACTCCAGAGTGTCCCAGCTGCTTCACCTGATATAACTAGCTCTAATCCTGGGTTAGATTGGTGGGGAAAGAGATTTCTGAGCTTGGATTTGATGCTGTTCCCTCTAGTGATATTTTTTTCCCTTTTTGGAGACAAAACATACATGCCACTAATCTCAGGTGAGATAATTTCTTGTTTCTGGTGGCTTTTGCAAGATTTCAGTGTGGATGGTCCACTAATAAGGCATGGGGAAGTCTGCTAAAATTCAGGGCTGGGGGGTGCGTGTAATAGACCGTGGCATTGGACTGACTGTGAAAGAGACAGATACTATGGCAAAATGGATGTGACCAAGGTTAGAGGGTTTTCAGTGTATGTATTTAAGAGTGCTGACTTCCCTATTCCACTGTGTTAAAAGCCAATGAAATCATTCAAAAGAATATGTTATGGAAGATAGGCTGAAGGGAGGCCAAGGGCTGTGTTCGTCATAACCAAGATCAGAGAGTGGGTATAAAGAACTTGTGATATTTGAAACAGCTCACCTGTTGGAACGCTGTACCCCTGCATGAGTCAGAAATTTTTGTAACACGTCTATGCCACAGGTGGCAGGCTTGTCTCTGCTGCTGTTTTGGAAGTGTAGTAGAGGCAACTCTGTTCAGTGTTGTACTTTTCTGTTGATTCACAGGTTTTTGCACCCTTCAGACTTGGTAGCCCAATGCAGTGCAACTGTCCAGATACAGTAATTATTGGCCTGGCTTTGTTTATAAAGAACAGATGTCTGATATTGGTGTAGTCTTTGGATTAAAACTTTCTAATGGAAACTCTGGCCAGCAAGCAAGCTACTGGGCTCAGATCAAGGTAGAAGACTGAGTAGCAGTGTTTCATGAAGCTTGACCTCTCCCATGGTGCTAGATAAGCAAGTATTAGGAGCACAGAACTGGAAGTGGCCTCCTGGGCTGTTTAGTCCACTGTAGTCCCCTGCATTTTGTAGGTAACTATATATCCAAAGAGTCCTTAAAAAATTATCCGCTCACCCTCCGCACACCACAAACCAAAGCTCCCTACTGTGCCAAAGTGTTAAAAAAAAAAAAAAAAAAGAG